ACGTGCCCAGCTAATTTTTGTATTTTTAGTAGAGACGGGGTTTCACCATGTTGGCCAGGATGGTCTGATCTGACCTCGTGATCCTCCTGCCTCAGCCTCGCAAAGTGCTGGGATTATAGACATGAGCCACTGCGTGTGGCCGTGTTTCCACTTTTAATGTGAGTTTCTCACATGATTGTGATTCATGATTCCTTCACCTGTAGGGAACTCATGTTGGGACAGGTACAGCTTTCAGCATCAGATAATGCTTCTGATAAAAGCATTTAGTTGGAATAGACATTCCTGTAAAATGGATCTGGCCTGATCTTTAGATTGTGAATGGCCTTAACCAGCCGTGTGACATTAGTTTTCTTCACTCTTTGTACTACCCTTTCCCAAGCATTTATTGGCCCCTGTGGCCTGTGCCTGTATCCGTTTGACCCAGTCTCTCTTCCCTCTGCAGTGCTGTATTCACCTGGACCAACCTGCTGGTGGTGGTGGTGGAGCTGGATGGGCTAGAGCAGGATGCCCTGGACCTGGTGGCCCTGGTGACCAACGTGGTGCTGGAGGAGCACTACCTGGTCGTGGGCGTGGTGGTCATTGTGGACCCAGGGGTGATCCCTATCAACTCTCGGGGTGAGAAGCAGCGCATGCACCTGCGAGATGGCTTCCTGGCAGACCAGCTGGACCCCATCTATGTGGCCTACAACATGTGAGCACAGTGCACCAGCCCAGGTGCCAGAGATGAATGAGCCCCAGCAGTCCAAGGTGTGATGTGGGAAGACACTGCAGAGCCTACCCACCGGGACTCACCCCTTCCTGTGCTTTTACAGATTCCTCTCAGCAGTTCCCCGCAGCTCATTTTAGAAACTACTTCCTGAATTATTTAAAGAAATATTTTGAATCTGCCAAGTACATTTACAAAAACACGGATGCTGATATTTTAACAGATGGAGTGACAAGGAAAGGAAAGGCCTGGCGTGGGCATCGTGAGGAATCACAGGCACCGCGGTTCTCTGCTGTACTGCAAGTTTGCACTTTCTTTAGGCTAAAAATATAGCTCCTGATTTTTAAAATTCAGTTATTTATTCCCATTTCAAATGACAAGTTCATACATAGAATTTATGCTGGAGAGAAACTTGAGGCCATGAATACAGCTGCCTCACTTCTGTTTCACAAGGATGATGGAAAGGAAGCAAGCGGGACCCATCCTTTGTACTCACAGAGGGCACTGTGGTCACACGCAGTGCTTCCTCTGCCAGTTTCTTTATTGAAACAGACGTGCTGGTTGTCAGCATATCTTGTCACTGACACTCAATAAGTGCCATTTTGGACTGTCAAGTTAGATGCTTTGTTTCAGAAAGATAAGCCAGCATTTAGTTTTAAATCATTTTCCTGGTTTTTAACTTTATGCTGTTAAATTGCTAGTTTTCATAACACTGCAATACTAATTCTTCTCGTGGAAGTGTACTGATTTATTGTTTTTATTCCAAGCCATCAGACTTAGAAGCATTGGTGGTAAAGTCTAAGGTTTTCATATCTATCGTACTGTTTGGTGAGTACCGGCAGTACAGTTGAGGGGTCGCAGGAAACACCATTGCCCCATATTGAAGGTGGAGATGGTTACATTCTTTACTGCCTTTCGCATTTTGAGTTGTGTGCCTATAAAATTTGGCCAAATCATTTTATTATTTTGTTCAAACTTGACTAAGCTGAGTGATCTAAAATACAGAACCTAAGTCAAAAGAAGAGAATGTAAAATCCTTCAGTTACTTCTAAGAATTTGAAGTCAAGTACAAATCTAAAACATAGATTATTTTTATATAGCTAATTAAGAGTATGTTATGAAATTGTTGGGTTTTGGGGTATTGAGGGCGGAAAATTTTGTGAATCATGCATGCTTCACAGAAACAACCAGGTTTTTCCAGAATTAGTCTGGATCAGTGCCTAACAAAGCTGTTATTAATTCTCCACACGTGAGTCTGGCTAACTGGCCCAGCCCTCATATTTTACTCCTGTCTGGCTACAAATAGCATTGTGCATAGTAGCCCTGTTTGCCCATGGTGTTGGATTGTGGTAAAGTATGCTGTGACATACTGGAATCCTAATAATCCTCTTGTAATTATGTACAGAATCTATGTAACTTATTGTTGACATATAGAGGTTTGGGCAGTGGTCTAACGGAGGACATTCCTTACAACAGAATGGCTGGGAAGGGAAAGGGAAAAACTACCTAACTCCAATCTTAATGTCGTAGTTTTATAGCAAACAAAAATTGTAAACTTTTTGTATTGAAAGGTCAGTAGTGGTAAGACAAGGTGTCTTGTAAATTAAGATTTTAAGAAGTACATTAAAATGTTTTAGAATTACTCTGGGAATTCTGTATATCACACTAAAATTTTTATATCATTATGTTAATAAAAGTTATTGACTTTGTAATTCTGCATTTTGAAATGTATGAAAAGGGTTTTAAAGTTACCCTGAACAGGATGTATTTTATTTTGCATTTTTTTCTGACTATAAAAGCAATTATGCTTACAGCATAAAATCTAGAAAGCACATTAAAGTATTAAAAAAATTTAAATTTCTTATAATTCTACCTCCAAGTAAATAGCATTAGTATGTGACATAAACCCTCTCAGGGATTTATTTTTTCCATTTTAAAAATTTTTTACAAAATGAGGATCAAGTGCTTTTTTAAATAATCTGCTTTTGTACTTAATAAATTATATAGACTTTTAAATCTATTACATATTTTCTTCTACATGTTTCAATGGTGTATTTTACAAGTGTGCCATGACTGTGGTATTTGCTGTACTGCTGTACATCACTGTTGTGGCGTCCTTTTAGATGCACTTTGACACTGCCATTACAACTGCTGCCTTGGGCTCAGTTACAGGTAGAGAGTATAGGTCAGAGTTCATGCCAGGTGTGAAGCTTTGGGTACCTGCTGCCCTCCAGAAGGGCAGGACGACAGCATGGAAAAGGCCTCTTTGCAGTTGCCAAGCAGTGTTGGCAATGGACATGCTCAAGATTAAAATAAATCTTTGACAATTTGATAGACAGTAAGTGTTGTGTCTGGTCATGTTAAATATGTCCTCATGTATTCATGGCCATTTTTAGTTCTTATCTGGTGTATTTTGTTCAGATTTGGCAGTTATTATTATGGTCAAGTTTTTTTCTTACTGACTTGTAGGAATCTTTTTCTATTAAGAATTATAACCTCCATATACTTGTTACTTTTTCTGGTGGGTTATTTCTATTTTGATTCTATTTGTTTAAATGTTGTATTTGCTTTATGCAAACTATGGTTATTGTGTTTAATTTCAGATTATGAATACAGCTGATTTATTTCAAAGTGGTTCTTCTGGAATGGTCAGCATAAACCAGTGGGGGGGTACATGGCAGAGAAGTAACTAACCTCCAGTGTTTGCCTGGTTCCTGCCACAGTGCTGGACTTCAGGTCTTCCAAACTGTTCTAAAGAAAGGTCAAGGGACCTGCTGGTGCCACTGTGTCTTTCTGTCAGTAAATATCCTCAGTAAATCATGTGCACGTTATTTGCCATGTAAAAAAAAGAACAGGAAGAGGAAGCATTCCCTTTCTACCTGAGATCATGTTACATAAATTTTGGGTCTGAAAGGGTTAGGAAAGGCATACTCTGTTTAAATTGGATATAGTAACAGTGTTGTAACACTGTGCATGGCATTCATCCTCTTGTTTGATGTTCAGTTTCAGTAATGGAGAATTAAAAGGAAACTACACGTAAAATTTCAAAATTAATGGTTTTTACATTTTTGCTTATTAGTTAAAAATTTGTGTTGAAGAGGAATGACTTTAAAATGTCTAAGCAGGTGCCTGGACTATCCTCCCTCCCCCCTCTTGCTGGTCTGAAAGCCTGAGTCACCCTAATCCTCACCCAGGTCTTCCTGAATTCTGCTTTGCTTTTCAGGATTTAATGCAAGAACCTTTTCACATGAATCCATGAGATATTTCTGAAGGATCATTGTGGAGTTTGCTGAGGGCAGTACAGATTGAGAGATTGAGAGTTTATTAGTTTTAAGTGCCTGCTAAGTGTGGGGTTCATTATTCCCCAGATTCCCAAAGGAACTGAAAAGTCCAGATATGAACATTCATTTCAGATGCCACTTTAAAAAAATCAAAAGCTGAAAAAGGAGCATGAAGGACCAAATGAAGCTTTGAGGGGAAAAGGGAGCACAGAGGCCTTGCCACCGACCATCACTGCTAGGTAGGCATGCCCAGATGCCGCAGGAGGCTCCAGAGGGAGGTCAGTGGAGTGAAGGCCATCCACAGGCTTTTATGCTCAAATGGAATGGAAGGTAAGTCAAAGACAAGCATTTTTAGCATTTACGTTATTATTCAATGAAGGGGAAGATTCTGGGAAGACAGCAGAGTACCAACCACCAGGAACATCTTCCGACCTAGACAGTAATTGCACTGGCAGAATCTGATGTGACTATTTAGATCTCTGGAGTCTGCTGATGCCTTGTAACTTCCAGGGCAAGGCTTAGATGGTAAATTAGGTTTAATTTTAGCTCCTGGCATGGTAGCAGCTACCCTACCCCCAGCCCATGGCAGGCAAGTGTGCACATGTTCCAGGAGCAGCTTGCACATGGACCCAGATCCTTGATTGCTGTTTCTAATTTTAGAGGGGCAGATGAGTCCAGAGGCCATTGTTGCACCTCTGCCCATTTTTGCAAACCCCTCTCCATCCAGCTTAAATTACTTCCATTGCTGGAATTTAAAGGGCCAGCACCCTTCTCCCCACCCTTCATTTTTCTCATTTTCTCCTTTTGGGAGCCAGACACTAAAGACTAGAACATTCAAAAGTACCTGCATGTATAGGGAGAAGTAGAAAGTGATTGTCCATGCCCAGGGAAAGGTACAGGATCAGAAAAAACCCAAGAAGACCTTAAAATAAGACCTCAGGCTGATCCTTGGCATAGAGACAGCTAAGGATCAATAAAAATAAATAAGGCCAGGCACAGTGGCTCATGCCTGTAATCCCAACAGTTGGGAAGGCTGAGGCAGGTGGATCATGAGGTCAGGAGATTGAGACCATCCTGGCTAACATGATGAAACCCTGTCTATACTAAAAATACAAAAAATTAGCCAGGCATGGTGGCAGGCACCTGTAGTCCCAGCTATTTGGGAGGCTGAAGCAGGAGAATCACTTGAACCTGGGTGCAGTGAGTCAAGATCACACCACTGGACTCCAGCCTGGGCGACAGAGTGAGACTCTTGTCTCTAAGTAAATAAGTAAATTAATTAACAAAACCCCCCAGGAGACGATGGGGAAGAAGAATCTGATTTCCAGAGTAACAACATTATTTGATTTTAATGTCAGTTTTTCAACAAAAAGATCATGAGACACGCAAAGAAAAATATGCTTCATTCCAAAGAAAAGTCAATAGAAACTGTCCCTGAAAAAGACCTGTTGGTAAATCTACTGACAAAGACTTTAAAACAACTGTCTTAAAGATGCTCAGAGAAGTAAAGGAAGATGTGGAGAATGTTAAAAATCAATGTATTGGGAAAATGGAAATATCAATAAAGAGGAAGAGAACCTAAAAAGGAAGACCAGAGCTAAAAAGTACAATAACTAAAATGAAAAATTCCCTAGAAGAATCCAAGGGCAGAAGAAGAATCAATGAGCTTGAAGATAGGATAGTAGAAATTAATAAGTCTGAAGAAAATAAAAAGATTGAAGAAAAATGAACAGTCTAAGGGATCTGTGGGACACCATTAAGCTGACCAACATATGCATATGTTTGCAGTTCCAGAAGCAGGGTGGAGGGAGAGAGAGAATACTTCAAGAAATAATGACTGAAGGCTTCCTAAATTTGATGAAAGACGTGAATATAAGCATCTGAGCAGCTCAACAAATTCTAAGATGAATGTAAAGAGACCACACAAATATCAAAATTTCAAAAGCCAAAGCCAAAGAATCTTGAAAGCAACAAGAGAGAAGCTGCTTGTCACATACAAAGGTTCATCAGTAATGGGTTCCCAACCCCTAGGCCACAGATTGTTACCAGTCTGTGGCCTGTTAGGTATTGAGCCACACAGCATGAGGTGAGTGGCGCTGGTGAGTGAGGATGACCACCTGAGCTCTGCCTCCTGTCAGATCAGTGGTGACATTAGGTTTTCATAGGCATACAAGCCCTCTTGTGAGCTAACCGTACACGCCAGGGATCGAGGTTGCACACTCCTTATAAGAATAGAATATTTTAATGTCTCCTTCACTTTTGATGAACCGCTTTGCCAGGTATAGGATTCTTGGTGGACTTTTTTTTTTTTTCTCATAGCATTTTTACTATATTGGCCCACTATCTTCTGGCATCTAATTTCTAATGAGAAATCTGCTGGTAATCTTATTGAGCAGCAGTTCCCAATCCTTTTGGCACCAGGGATTGGTTTGTGGAAGACAATTATTCCACAGACAGGGAGATGGTTTTGGAATGAAACTGCTCCATCTCATGATACTGGAGCCAGTCAAAGACACTACAAAACAGAAAACTACAGACCAAGATCCCTTCTGAACACTGATGCAAAAAAATTCTCAATAAAATACTAGCAAACTGACTTCAGCAGCATATTGAAAGTACTATACAGCATAACAAAGTGGAGTTTACTTCTGGACTATAAGGATGGTTCAATATATGAAACGCAATCAATGTAATACACCATATTAACAGAATGGCGGGAGAAAACATGATCATCTCGATGCTGAAAACACATTTGACAAAACTCAGTATGCTTTCATAATTAAAGAAAAAAACTAGGAATAAAAGGAAAATAATTTTAACATAATGAATTCCATATATGAAAATCCACAAGAAACATCATACTCAGTAGTGAAAATCTGCAAAAGCTTTTTCTGCTAAGATGAGAAACACAGCAAGGAAGACTGCATCACTTCTATTCAACACAGACCTGGAAGCTCTTAGAGCAATTAGGCAAGAAAAAATAAAAGATACTAAATTGGAAAGAAAGAATTAAAATTATCTCTGCCAATATTATTTTGTATGTAGAAAGCCCTAAAGATTCCACAAAAAAAGGAACATTAATAAATTTAGCAATGTAGCAGGACACAAGGTCAACACACAAAAGTAGGTTGCATTTCCATACACTAACAATGAACAATTTAAAATTAGAAAAACAATTCCATTTGCAACAGTATCAAAAAAATATTTAGGAATTAACCAGATGAAAGACTTGTAAAATAAAAAATACAAAACATTGCTGAAAGAAATTAAACAAACAATAAATAAATAAATAAATGGAAAGATATCCTATGTTCATGGATTGGAAGTCTTAATATTGTTAAGATGTCAGTACCACTGAACGCCATCTACAGACTCAAGGCAATCCCTATCCAAATCCTAATTATGGTTTTTGCAAAAAGACTAACATCCTAAAATTCATATACAATCTAAAGAAACTCTGAATAAACAAAGCAATCCTGAAAAAAAAGCTAGAAGTTTCTCCAGATAAGATATACAAAAGGTATACACCTTTGAAAAATGAAAGCAAAATAAGGCATTCTTAGATAAGCAAACTTTGTTGCTGGCTGACGTTACCAGAAATAAAGTCCATCAGACTGAAAGCAATTGACCCCTGATAGTAATTTTTAAAATTTGTTAAGTTCTGGGGTACATGTGCAGGATGTGCAGATTTGTTACATAGGTAAAGATGTTCCATGGTGATTTGCTGCACCTATCAACCCATCACCTAGGTATTAAGCCCAGCGTGCATTAGCTATTTTTCCCGATGCTCTCCCTCCCCCCGTGTCCCTCCAACAGGCCCCGGTATGTGTTGTTTCCCTCTGTGTGTCTGTATGTTCACATTGTTCAGCTCCTATTTGTGAGAACATGCAGTGTTTGGTTTTCTGTTCCTGTGTTAGTTTACTGAGGATAATGGCTTTCATCCATTGTCCCTGCAAAGAACATGATCTAATTCCTTTGTATGGTTGAATAGTGTTCCATAGTGTAAATGTACCACATTTTCTTTAGCCTGCCATTGACAGGCACTTGAGTTGATTCCATGTCTTTGCTATTGTGAATAATGCTGCAGTGAACATACATGTGCATGTATCTTTATAATAGAATGATTTATATTCTTTTGGGTATATACTCAGTAATGGGATTGCTGGGTCAAATAGTATTTCTGGGTCTAGGTCTTTGAGGAATCACCACACTGTCTTCCACAATGGTTGGACTAATTTGCATTCCATCAATAATGTAAATGCATTCCTTATTTCTCTGCAGCCTTGCCAGCATCTGTTGTTTTTTGACTGTTTAATAGTTGCCACTCTGACTGGTGTGAGATAGTATCTCATTGTGGTTTTGATGTGTTTCTCTAATGATCAGTGATATTGAGCTTTTTTAAAATATATTTGTTGACTGCATAAATGTCTTTGAGAGCCATTTTTTCATGTCCTTTGCCCACTTTTTAATGAGTTTGTTTTTTTCTTGTTAATTTGTTTAAGTTCCTTGTAGATTCTGGATGTTGGCCCTTTGTCAGATGGATAGATTGCAAAAATTTTCTCCCATGCTATAAGTTGTCTGTTCACTCTGATGATAGTTTCTTTCACTATGCTGAAGCTCTTCAGTTTAATTAGATCCC